TACTCCAATATAAAATTTTAAATCCTTAATCTCACATTCTGATAAGCAGTCTAGCCTGTAAAAATCATGCAAAGGATGCCCAGCAACATTGAAAGTGGTGAAGCCTTTGAAAACCTGTAATGGTTTTACCATTTGTTGTAGGGGAGTTTGCACTCTGGTACAGAATACTAATTATAGGTACCAATTGTTCCTTCATCATCAAGAGCTTGACAGTTTCAGAAAATGCAGCATGTTGCATTGTCACATCCCTCTCAAATCAATCTCACCTGGTCATTAGGAGAGCACCTTACAGCTATTGAAGATGAGCGTTCAATAATTCTTTCAGGTAATAGAAAAAGAAATCACGCCTAGGTAAAGGCAGGTAAAGGCTTCATAAAATATTATCTAACATAACTCTTAGATGTATTTCTGGATTTTCGGCAAGTCCAATTACATAATATAAAACTGGCGCTTTATGTTCTAACTGGTGTGTGAGTGACCGCTAACAGAAAATGCTGATCAAATAAGCCAATGGAATTAGATTATAAGTGAACATGAACCTTACTTACGGTTAATTCACATGATGGTGAAAACCCTGAACACGTAATTCACATGACGGTGAAAACCCTGAACACAATATTTCTTACGCGAGCTGTTGACTTTACTAATAAAATGACGTCTTCTTCTGAAAATGTATAAATTTGATACTTACTCTTTATTTGAAAGCAAGTTTTTGACTACGTAGCATTATTATTTATTAATTATAATTTTTATGGCTGTTTATAGTGACACAAAACAATTTATTGCCACTTCTTTGCTATTGACGTCATTAAAAACTCAAGTAAAATTTTTGATTAAAAGAGGTAATTGTGGCTCGCACGTCCTTGGGGGATTTGAGCGAAGATCATTATTTGGAAAAATCAAAATAGAAGAATGTTTTTCTTTCTTGGATGCTCACTAGTGTTTTGATGCCTTGCATATCAAATTAGTTTGAGACTTGCCCAGAAGGCTGCTTCAAGTCTGGCATATCACACCCCAGAAAATATGCAAGGTAAGAAAGAAGCAAGAGTTTTGACTAGACAATCTCTGTTTGACAGTCCATCAACTTGAGTTTCATTTTCCATACCTAACATTGATAATGAAAAGCATCATGGTCTGTTGTTCTGTCCCACAACCATGCTTCAGGATTTGGCATTAGATGTCTACACTGCTAGTGCTTCTATTCTGGTTCGTTGTTTATTGTTTCTGTTGTTGTAGGTACCTAGGTACCTACCCATCTTTCTTAACCCCTTGCAAGGGCTTGTGTAGGCAATAGGCATGCGTTGCGCATCAGGCTTCAGGCCTTCGGCCTAAAGCCAGATACACAACCACTTAACCTATGATGCTTCATGAGCTTGAGAATCTATAGCCGATTGCAATGTGCTTTTGGCTATATGTTTCAACTAAAAACAACTTATTATATACTATTTGGTTGCATTTCATTGAAAGTATCCACGGCCGGCTGACGGCTGGCTGCCCACAGTTTGCCACGGCTGTGGGCGGCTGTGGCTGTGGAGCCACGGCTGCGGGGCGGCTAGGCTGTGGAAAATTGCAGCCGTGCAGAACTCTACTGGGGGATATTCACCAAAGTGCTGATATCTTCATGATAAGATGCCGGGCGTTACATGGCGGATGGACGGCCGAGGCCGGGCCGTCAGCGCGGGCACCAGTACTCCGTCCGTCCAGCTGCCCGACTCTGAGGGCGCGGGCGCCAGCACTCCGTCCAGATGCCAGCCGGCTCCGAGGGCGCGGGCGCCAGTCCCAGTACTCTGTCCAGCTGCACGCCGGCTCCGAGGGCGCGGGCGCCAGTACTCCGTCCGTCCAGCTGCCCACCGGCTGAGGGCGCGGGCGCCACCCGTCTCCTGTCTTCCGAAGAAACGGAGGCTGAGGGCGCGGGCGCCACCCGTCTCCCGTCTACAGAAGAAACGACGGCTGAGGGCGCGGGCGCCATCCCTCAAGAGGCACTGAGAGCGGAGGCCAAGCTCGCAGACGCCACTCCGCAACGAGCAGCGGAGGCCGAGGGCGCCGTCCGTCGCCACGATCACCCGCCCAGCCGCAATTGAAGGCGGTGACGCTATCAATACTCCTCCAGCTCTGCTCGCCCCGTCGCTACTCCGAGAAGGCAAACGTGCTGCTTAATTCAGGAGCTCATACGGCACTCACTCATACAAAGCCGGCACTTCATTCCGGAATCCTCAGTCGGCCGGGCCGCGGCATGCTTAAACGTCCTGTCAAAACAGCCGGCCGTGTTGCATGCATCTGTCAAAATGACGTGTCTCGTGCAGTCAGTATGTTGACGACAAGCAATAAACTTGCGGCGGCCGCCGTTCGGAGCGGATTATCTGCTTGTTCGGACCGATGTTGACGGTCTTGTAGGCAATACATCGGCGCGACAGGAGACCGCCAAGGGGCGTCGCTGACAGTCGCGGAGCCCTGGGCGCCCCGGGCGCGCGCACAGCGACACACGGGCGCGCGCATGGCGACATATGGAGCGGGGGCCCAGACCAGACTCTTGAGAGGTCCCCGAGACCGTCAGTGCAGCCGTTTCGGGTCAAACAGCCGTCACAGTCTGATTATTGTTGTGAGGCGTCAGCGCTGTACGGGTTCGGCCGCACACAGACCGCAGCTCAGTGCTCACCCTTATAACTGGCATGCACTGACGCGGAGTGTTGTAGCTTGGATTTGGACACTGCAATGACCATTTTAAATAAGGCCTTAGTAGTGCAATACTATATTGATCAAAAGGCGAAGGTCTCTTAATTTTGAATTGCGCATCAACAACATAATAAATATGCGCTGGATCAGAGTGCCCAGGTGACACTTGAAAATAATTGAATTGGTGGCACAGAAAACACTTAGTTGAAACCCGGCACCGTCCTTCTATAGTTAGCATCCATTGATGCTTTGCAATACCGCTCTACATCTATACAATACCGTTTACCGATAATTAATCGAAAACAAAGTTAAGCATAAACGTAAAAAAGGTCCAATGTCGTCAGCTAAACTGTTCATTCCACGCAATAGGTACTACCTAAGGAAACACAAAACTGCGAAGATGCAAACTAACGAGCAGCTGAGTCCACCATAACAAAACGGCAAGGACACGCTATACATGCAATATAACCAATTTTCTCAAACCGCCGTCCTTGTGCGGCGCAGAGCCCATCTTCCCTCAGCGAGGGTAGCGAGGAGCGACAGCGGCATTTTCGGCCTCAGCAGGATCCTTTCAGGTGCAGCGGGCGAGCGAATGTTCCGGATCCACTTAGCGAACTAGCGACGGGCTAGCAGGAGCTAATAAGAGCTGCATGTGTGGATGATCTTTAGGTTTGTGCTGATGTAGTCCGATATGCGGGCAAGAGCATATAAAATTACGTGTTTCTCACATAAAAGACGTGTTTTAAACATTGTAGGATTGTAAGCTTAGCATGTGTAGGTACTAGGTAGTTTGTTTGCTTTCGTTCTCCAGGATCTAGTGCTGCAGTGCTGCATTAATTTGTGGGTAATTTGAAAATGTAAGCTGACACAGAAGGCACCATAAATGTTTCCGATAGATGATATCGTGCATGTTCTAGAGTTAAAGCCATAATCGCCAAATATTCCAAACAAGAAAGCCAAAATCAGGATGCTGGAAATTCCAGCCGCAATGAGTTCACATCTCAGTCTTTCTTTAATCTCCCTCTCCCTCCCTCTCTCTCTCTCTCTCTCTCTCTCTCTCTCTCTCTCTCTCTCTCTCTCTCTCTCTCTCTCCCTCTCTCTCCCCTCCTGCCCTGAGTATTGGCGACCCAGCCACGGTTTGCGCCCGCTCTGCACGCCTGTTGGAGACACTCGCATCTCTCTCATACCGTCACATGCCAGTTCGCACCACTTCATCCCCGACCAACACCGGCATAATGACGTGATGAGAGCCCCCGACCATGCAGAAGCGGCAGCGGTCCGTGTTGCGCAACATTGAAGCCTGCAGAGAGCGCAATGACGCGATCGGCATCGGCCGGGCTCGATGGTGCTGAATGGATCGGTTGGCAGAGTATGTTCCCGAACCGTCAACACAGCGCTATTCAGCACAGGACCGCCGTCGTTCCAGTTATAAAACTTTTATAAAAGTTTCTGCAGCCGGGGTTTTGTAGCTTTCTGAGCGCTTCCGGCTCTGAACTGGAAAACACGGCCGACCACAAAACTCTGCCGGCGCGGTGGTCGGCGATGTCGGACGGTCGGACGGGCCGCGGGGAGGGCGGCGCCATTGGGGTCGGACGTGGTCGGAGATCGCGGCCCAGGTCGCCGCGGTGACCGCGAGGGGTCAGCTGTGACCGCGATAGGTCAGCAGTGACCGCGATAGGTCAGTGGTGATCCCCGGCGGGCGGCGAGCACCACTGGAAGCGTGGGATACTCGGTTGGCCAGTTCAAACCTCTGGCACCCCCACCCCGACTGGCCTAATTCCGATCCCACCATTTAGCCCGGCGCCGGCACGCCCAATTAGACCTTTCCCTAACCTCAGGAAGCGGTATCTGGTCGGCTAGCCACAGAGGTCCGTCGGCAAGGGGATTTCTCAGGTGCTTGTGCTTCTGGTGAGCTGTATTGTATACAGTAATTATATAATAATATTAATTATATTAAATGAGGACTCAATGCACCAAATGGAGACCTGACGGTAATCGCGGAATCGCAAGCAATTCCTTGAATCTTTCCGCCCCGCGATTGGAGTTAATCAGTTCAGTAGTATCTTCGGTATTGATAAGCACGACCGTGATATCAGCTTTGGTGCTAACCACCCACACCGAGAAGACTTGTTTCGTTTCTGCAGCGAGAGAAGGCGAGCCCAAAACCCCTGGATCATCCCCGGCCGGCCGGCCGGGCAGTCCGCGCTGAGCTCTAAAACCGAGACCCCATCCCTCCCCGTCATCTCATGGCTCAGAAAATGGATCAGCCGCAGTCGGATGGACACTAGTTATAGTTATGTGTAAGCTGTCGCTCTCATTGTACTCACAGCCACTGGATGGCTCCGACGGTCTCAAGCAGAACCAATCCGAGCAGCCCCGCCGCCAGCAGCCTCCGTCCCAGTCGCCGCGACCTCATGGTGCCGTCACGTGTCACGTCCGTCACCGAGCCCACACCATGCCACCGTCACGTCACGGGCGCGCGTCACTCGATGGCTCGAGGCACTCCCGACACAGCCGCCCCACTGTCTCACTCTCGTCTGAGGACGACGGCGGCGGCGGCGGCGGCGGCGGCGGAGCTCGGCCGGTCCGCACCGAGCCCTCCCATTGGTCAGCCGCGCGGTGACCACGCCCACCAGAGGTCACCGCCGCACAGCAGGGCTGGCCGCAGCCTGGGACGGCGGGGGCCGCTGCCGGACAGAGCTGAGTACAAAGCTGGGAGGACTGGGGTCACTATGTGGAAGGGATGTAAGGGGGCCAAATGGTGATCGATGTGGGAAGGTCGGTGGGACGATAAAACAGAATACCACAAATTGGCTAGTCTTGTCTGGATTCACTGTCCGGTGTTTTAGGCCTGAATAGAATACATGTGATTCCGTCCCACAATGCATCCTTGTTGAATCATGTTGGTTGTAAATAGATACACAGTACCGCATACATTCTGTTTCTGTATATCAGCCAAGCTATTCCGAAGTAGGTTCGAATGTATAATGAATTAGATTGTATTGTGTCTAAACAAATATCGGTTCCAAAATGTGCCTAAACATTTTATAAAGCTATTTTCCACTTTCTGAATGCAAATAAACGATAATTTTAATATCGGCACTTTTTCATTTGAATCGTTCATGTTTGATTTAATTACAAAGCTCAGCTGCAACGTGATCAGTTGTACGGCCAGTGGATAAGCATCATGCAGTAATAATTAAGATGTGTCCGTCTGACTGCAGGTAGTGGCCAGTGGGCACTCATCGAGTTTAGAGCCACCGTACACTGACTTAAGCACATGCAGAGCATGAAAACTAAGCACACTGCATATTCACTAGCAAATCAACATTCAAACTACATACTCCGAATATGTCCGATCATTCATGTTCAATATGCCATTTCCGACTGCAGTTTGTGACCCTTGATCAAAACGCTTCAATTCAACCGATATTTGAAAATGATTCAATTCTATCCTTCCGCACTGCGATGGGTGAAAAGGAGATGAGGCTAAGCTGTTGTTCATATAAGCCACGTAATTACTTACATAATGCACACGTTTACCACATCGAACCGTTCATCAGCTGTCACATTACATGCCATTGCCGGGTTAGTCAGGAGTTAACTTTTTTTCTAATTAGCTATATGTGGGGTAAGATTGTCCCTTCAAAGCGTTGTAATGATAAACCAGTTTAATTTTGTATGCCTAGCACATTTGGTATCAGATGGGTTATACCTATGTAGGTACTGAGGATAACAGAGGTGACTAAGAAAGACTGAAGCTGTCCTGTCTGATGGAGCAAAAATTGGCACGCGTGCACGCTGTAAACTATAATAAAAAGCCAAAACTCTGTCCATTCATAGGAATAGCCAGACTGCCCTTATTGTTATTTCTGCAACAAAAATAGGTACCGAGATTACTTACACGACATTTGTTTTACATTATGGAGACCACATAGCAGGAAAAGCGTTAAATCTATAGAGTAGGTTGGTAAATGTGGACCACAAATGCATATCGGCCCTGTAATTCTGTAATATTTTCAAACAAGTTTTGTTTTACAGCATTATGTATAAAAGTCATGCATTTGAGATGAAATACCCATTGCGACACGAGTGGACAACGTCAACATTCATAGGTACTAATATAAGACGGCTCCATATAGGGTGTGATTTGAAACACAGGAAGAGGAAGACCATTAACTTCCTTCAGCATGCATACACCTATAGCTGGCACTGCTACCTATTGAAGGATATCGATCAATTCACTTATCATATCACCTTTGAAAAGGTGATTGACACGAAACGTTGGGTGATTTTGGTGTTTTTATTGTATGTAAGTACATCATAAACGAATTGTTTAAGTCTAGTTTTAGGTTAATTTAGCCCGCGCATGGCGAACTTCGGGCTGTCGTCCAGCAGGACCTGGACAAACAGAAGCCGGCGGCCAACCTCGGCGCATTGTCGTTACAGCTCCAACGGGCATGGTAAAAAATCCAGCCGTACTTACTGCACGTCCTAGTTGCGACATGCAAATTTGCGTTCGTATGTAAGTCCCTGTTCGTGGGTATCGGCCCTGTAGGGAATAAATTGCGTGGGGAATAAATTGAACGCTAAAGAGAATCGCTGTCCCCTATGTGGTAACTTAGAGAGAACATTTTTTTTTTAAGGATAACATAACACTTATGCCGGACCATGTAGCTCACGCATGATTCATTGCAGTTTCACCTTAGACCGCAAGACGTGGCAATTTGTTTAGGACATAGCAATTAATGTTGTCATGATCGGCATACCGTCGAGTACGTCACTATTTTTATCATCTTAACGATTGCATATTTCAGCCTTCATGACTTTTAATTTCCTACTGTTTCATATAATTTCATGTATGGCGCTGAACAATTGTTGAACAGTTCATTTCAATAACTGCATTGTTAAACCTCCGGTAGGGTTAACCATTAAACACAGGAAACACAGGAAGAGGAAGACCATTAACTTCCTTCAGCATGCATACACCTATCGCTGGCACTGCTACCTATTGAAGGATATCGATCAATTCACTTATCATATCACCTTTGAAAAGGTGATTGACACGAAACGTTGGGTGATTTTGGTGTTTTTATTGTATGTAAGTACATCATAAACGAATTGTTTAAGTCTAGTTTTAGGTTAATTTAGCCCGCGCATGACTCTTCTAGTTGGTTTATGGATGGTATGAGGCTCTCCATAAGGTCTGCGCTCGGCCGGCGGCCAAAAAGCGCACGACAGACGGACATGCTCTCGGGCAGCTCGACAATGGTGGCGCAGCGGCGGCGGATGGCGCACCATCTCCGGCGGCACGCGCCTGTCGGCACCCGTCAACCGAGACCATTGTGACGCGTTCCGGTCCGACGCAGCGGCTAGCGGTCCGCCAAAGACCGGCCGCAGGCACACAGCGCGGCTCCGATACAGGCGGACCGTACCGCGCTGAAAGGGTGCTCCCGATACAGCAGATCGTCAAAGAAGACAAGGGTTGCTATTGAGTATTGTCGCAGATGATATCCCGAATGGCGAGGGTTCGTTTTATTGGAAAGTTTGGGTGGCTTATTTTTGTTGCTGTTGTTTCATTCCAAGGTCGATGGAAGCTTCGCCTTTGGAACGTTTTATGCCATTGCCTGAATTTAGACACGACTCGCATGCTACGAGCACTAGCTTGATATCGATCACAGGACTATGGATAGCCGGCGGAAAGCCTGATGATCGACCTGACCTGACCTGGCCCGGCGTATTCCAAATACAGCAATACATTATCGTCGGTAAAAAGTGCGAAATTCGAAATCAGGGACCCCCGAAACTGGAGTGCATAAAACCACGCTTTCATTGTGCCGCCCGCCATAGTTTTTTTTTTTTTTAGCGCGATAGCTCAAACACGCCGAAGAAAAGGAGGTGAAACTTGACATACCAGACCTATAATTCAAACTGGATATTGTGAAACCATCTGCATAATCAGGTCAGGTCAGGCTACTGACCTATGACGTCATGTGCGAAAGTCTGCACTGTCCTAAAATATCGCAAGTTCACAGCGCCCTCGGTGACAGAGGAGCTTTCACAGGGCGGTGAAAGCATAAGACGTGAGTACCTATCGTCCAGAGGTCCCACAACTCAGGGCATATTTTAACAAATTTTTACTGCGTCCCAAAGTTGAGCAGAGGGCACGCGCTACGACTAAGGGCACAGGGCAAGGAAGAGAGTAGGGCACTGAGGAGGGCAGAAAGTAGGGCACGGCAGGTTACAGGGCATGGCACAGGACATTTTAGAGGGAAGGGTACAGGTCAGGGCACACAGCAGGGCACAGGTCAGGGAACCGGACACGGCACAGGGTAGGGACGCAGTGGGCCAAATCAGCAGGGGCTACGTTCCAAGGCGAGGGGGCTGCGTCCCAGAATGGGACGCAGTAAGTGCCTTAAAATATGCCCTGCCACAACTTGCATGTTTCGGAATTCTCCTGAGAATCACCTGAGTTCAGGTCGGTCACGTAACATCAGCATCACCATTATAAGTCAATAGGGTAAACTGTTATTTTGGTGTCGGGAATGATCTAAAACTATTTCAAGCACACGGAATCGTGATTTCATGCACTTCTCGCGAGGCAGGATGTTTCACTTTTGCATTGTTGACCTTGCCTGGCGTCATTTATGACGTCTCTAAGGTCAAAGGAGTTAAATCGAATGATATGACCTCCTTCGACCAGCTTCGTGACCTGAGTGGCTCGGATCTGACCTTGACCCTATTAGTGGCAGGCTCAGGTCCGGCTACCCCATTAGTCGCAAGTGTGGTTTTTACTTGTTTTTTACCACCCCTCACTTGATACCTCAAGATCTATGGGTCAGATTTTGAAAATGAAAATTGCGTTCGATTCCACTCAACATGATCTTTATTAAAAAGATCAAAACAGAACTTAAATAGGGGGTAGCAGGGGGTAAAACTACAAATAAGGTACAGATATTTTTTGACTGCTTATCACGGCCAAGTTTAGGGGAAGCCGGGGGAAGCCCGGGCGCGGGGGAAGCCCGGCCACCCCGTTTCCGACTAAATTATTCACAATAAAATGCTCAACTGTTTGTCCTTTCAGCGTGGCAGCTAAGGTAACGCCAGCAAAAAAGTTAAGGCTGACACAAATTGCATATTGTTAAAGTTATAGCGCAAAAATGATATTTTAAGGGTTTTTAGCTAAAAACTGAGATATCTTGCACTGTTAATGTTATACCATACAGTACTAATATTTATACGAATGTTATGTAAGGACCATTTAAGTGTTTGTAGTGAGGGGTGACGAGGCAGGCTGGCTTAAGTATGACATTTTTTCGAATATCGCTGTTCTAAAATAAAAATTAGCACATTGGGGTAACCCCGGGCGAGTGGCCAAGCTTACCCCCAACCGAGAGCAATGCCACTAAACCACTCTTTTCCATGAGATAATAGGTACTGAGCAGGTTTGGTTTACACCTAGATCAAAGATAAATTTCGAAAATAAACATGTTATCATAGACAAAGACAGTCATGTCACTTAAGGTCAACTAGGGTCAAACTACGTTT